CAGGCCGCGACCCTGGGGGAAGCCTCCCTCCGAGGTGCTGTGCCCTCGGTGACGCCTGAAAAGGCCGCTTAGTGCTTGAGGCCTGGACCTGGGCTTCGGATGAACCCAAATTCGTCTCTAACAGTTGTGAGGGGTTACGCTCAGCTCGGGCAAGCGCCTGAGAGGTGTGAGAGGGCAGAAGCCCTGGCAGTGACCCTCTGTTTTCTGGCCTCTTCTCGGGCAACGCCCGGTCGCTAGATCCCTCCGTGAATCTGGTGCAGGACAACCCCTGCCTGACAGAGTTCATCGCCTCCGTGCTGGCGCTGCCGGAGCCCAGCCCCACCATCCTCTCCTTCACTCTGCGGTTAGCCGGGATACTCGCCGCTTCCGAAAACTGCTTCCAACACTTGCAGGTGAGTCGGCTACCCAGGTACCTGCTGCCATGTATCTGTTTCCTCCTCCTATATGGAGGACACCTGAAAACGTACGTATTCTGCTTATAAAATTTCTGGCGTACATCAGACAACTCAGCAAACACAGTGATACGATAACGAAGACCTGTAGTCGTACTGTTCCTTTCCAGTTCTCACGTAAAGCTGCTGTCTTCTGTCTTGCCACAGTTGTGCTATGAATATTAATATGCAGTGCTTCTCATTTTCATTTCAAAACAGTGCATGGGATAACGCTATCTCACTGCAGTCACTGCAAAATATTGTATCCCTGGACAGATCCTGTAGATTTAAACTGCAGATACAGATGTAGTTTTCCCTCCATAGTAGGTTGACAGGAAGTCTCCGATTCTCTGCAAAAATGAGGGAGCTTTTTAAAGTCCTGCTTTCTACAGTAGAATACATTTATAGTACAAAACTCAAAACCTGAAAGGCTTCCTTCAGGGAAGAGATGCACACAACTGCATAAAGCAGTCTTAATGGAACTGATACATACATAAGTTGTCCCTAGCATCTTAAAAACAAGTGATTTTGGTGTTGACCACCTCTATTGCTTAGTCCATGAGAGAGACAGATGTTGAGTTCAAGCATGGGATTGTGAAAATTTTCCATTTTAGTGATACTTCTAGCAAGAGAAGGTTTCATTATGACAGAGTGGCCTCTCCACTCCCCTTGAGCCCCTTCGCTTACCATTTACTCTGTGTGTTCTCCTCTGGCCTCAGCAGGAGAAGCTGTTGGTCAGGCTCTTTGGCAGGGATGGGCCTCTGAACAGCGCAGTGTGGGAAGATGCATCTGTGCGAAGTGGCTGGGTGGAGGGTGTGCACAGCATGATGCAACACCAGCCTGCCCTCCACTTCCTCTGCAGTGGTGGTGAGTAATTCTAGGACCAGTAACTCCCCAAATCCTCTGTGTCTCTTCCATTCCATTCTGTTGCTCAGATGTCAAATGAGAGAGACAGGAGTTTTCATTTATTGAAGATAAAAATAAGCCGTTTGTCAAAAATACTGAAGTCATTGAAAGATGGTGGGGTTTTTGTTACATTAGTTATACACTTAATTTTTTCTGTTATTTTTTTCCCAAGCAGAGGAGATGGTGCCCTTTTTAGAAGGGAACAAGCACAGAAGATGGTGCCCTTTTTAGAAGGCAAAGAGGCACATCTTATGAAACACATGATAAAAATAGCTTATTAAAAGCCTTCTGTATTCTTATTTGTAACTCTTACTGAAAGATACATTTCAATTTGATTTTACTGCAGAAAAACTAACCAGGGGCTCATTTATCTCTTAATACTTGCACACATTTGTAGTCCCATTGTTGTACACAGGTATGTAAATTCTGCTGTTAACACCAACTTTAGATCCCATGTACAGAGGGGCCTAAAAGACTGGATCAGTATTAACATGCAGCATGCGCTGCTGTCCATGTGATGGAAAAGTGTATTGTTGCTGCCATTCATGTTTTTCCTACTGGTTGTGTCTGGAGATGGTACACGCTCCTTCCATAAATACACAGTGAGTGCACTGTCAACTCTGCTAATATTATATTGAAGTCCTCTTCAGTTCCTGAGTTATTAAAAAAACCTGAGGATCTGAAAACAATTTTACTTTCTTCTTTTGTGTGCTTTTGGTTTGTTTGTCATTAAGGATGGGCTGACTTTGAAATGCCATAGAGACTACAAAATAAAGTATAAAAAACCCACCAACGCCATTTAAAGCTGTGTGGTACTTGAATTAGAGTAATATATGGTTGGAGTGCAACAAGGCTCCACCTTGCAATAGGAAGGCGGTTGTTTTTTCCTCCAGTGACTTGTTTTCTTTTCACGCAGGAGGCATAGATGTGATCTTCACTCTGCAAGGGGATCCCAGCCTGTTTGTGGCTTCAGCTGCCAGTCAGCTTCTGGTGCACATGCTCACCCTCTCTGTAGAGTCTGAAATGACTAAACCTCTCGATACAAAGGACTGTGACTGGCCAGCGTGTGCCAAAATGATTATAAAGCATATTGAAGATTCCCTTCAGTCCAGCTCTGCCTCTCACATCGAGCAGTCATTAAAACTGTTAACTAGTTTGTTTGGCAGTTGTCGTGCTCCGTGGACTGAAGTGCTTTGGTTAGGCGTAGCAAAGCAAGTAGAATCCTTTTTGACGGAAGAGACTGTTCAAGCACAGCACATGGTGGCAAATCTTTTGCTTAACATGGCATGGTAAAGATCTGGCACCTTGGATCCAGTGATGAAATATATCTGTTTTCCACCGTCTAATGGGGCATATTACTTACAGTTCTTTCTTCTCAGGTCCCCTGTGTTTTGTGACTCTGAAGGCAGTTTTTGGGCATTAGTGACTTCTGCTCTGGAACACTTAACTCCACTACAAGCTGGTCCTTTGGCAGTCGGAATCCTGAGGGTCTACAAATGGTAGGACTTACTGCAATTAAATTTTTGCACTCTGTAAATGTTTCTGCACTAGTATCTCTGTTGTCTTTCCAAGAACTGTTTTTTTGCTCACTGCATTTTCCACTACATTCCTTAATATAAGACTGTTTGGCAAGAACTATGCCAGTGGCTAACACACTTCAGACACTGATAGTAAGAATACAGAGAGAGATAAATGAAATGACCTAGTATCATGTTTATGTGTATACCCTTGCATCTTACCTATAGCCAGCTAATTTCAGGAAGAAATAGCAAACTGCTTTAACTTTATACTGCAAAGATTAATAAGGAAGGATGCAATTTGACTGCCTGTCAAATCCAGTAGTCTCTGTTCAGTTTTCTCTTTCACAAAAACACCAACTAGTGTAAGAGCTTTCACTGCTGTCCAGCAGAAGCGTGCATCTGGAGACTCTGTTGACAGTTGTAGAATAACTCAGGTTAGAAGGAACCTGTAGAAGTGATGAATTCAACCTCTTGCTCAGTGCAGGTCTAACTTGAAAGACAGATTAGGTTGTTCAAGGCCTTCACCCTTCGAGTTTCAAACACCCACAAGGATGAGGATTCCACAGCTTCTCTGGGCAACTTGTTCCAACTTAACCACTTTCATCGCACTATGAAAAGTATTTTCTCTATATCCAGTTGGAATCTACCCTCATGCAATTTAAGATTCTTGTGTTGTGCACCTCTGAGAAGTCTGCCTCATCTTTTCCAGAAGTCCCCTTTAGGTAGTGAAAAAGCATCAAGAAATCGTCAGATGAATACAGCACATATGGATACTGATTCACAGGCTAAGTAACACCTGTATCTTAAGGTAGAAGGACACCATTTTGTTGACAAGAAATGCCTGTCTCTAAAACCCCCTTCTTACATAGAATCCCCTCTGTTTGCACAGATTTATAAGACTGCTTCTAAATTCCAGAGCCGTTTCTCCTCTGCTTTCAGTTAGCCAGGGAAGCTTGGAAGAAGGCTTGAATTGTGATAGTACTTTCATTGCTCTGTCATTGCTGGCTTGTTTAAAAGCCTGCATGAAAAGCATTATTCTGCTCAGCATTTGGGAGCAGATATCTGAGAAGGAATTGAAGTTTTCTTGTTTTGGTAACTGCTGTTTCCTCCTTGAAGCCCACAAGATGTGAGGATTCAGGCACTGACTGTTCTACTTCAGCCAATGGACTGTATTTTGAGAGCAGCCTCCCAGCCTCTGGAATATGCAGGTACAGTTGTGATAGAAAAGTTAGAGGCTAGTCTGCTTGCCAGTGTTTTAAGCGTCTGGTGCAGACAAAACTGGAGGAGGAAGAGTAGAAATAGTCAAGGACAGTAGCAGTGTTTGTGGTGAAGTACTGACAGTTGCATTTGAAGGGATACTCATACTACATCTCCTGAATATCTTGATTAACTTTTAAAAATCATAGTCATTTGTATTCACTAACAGCTCGAGCTCTTCCCTCCTTTGGTCCTCTAGGTTTGCTGGATGAGTCTGTTAGTGATCCCATCACTGTTGAAAGTCTTCTGACCTCCAAGTCATCTTGTGCTAGTCTCCTGTGTCAGACCCTCGCTCATCTGGAGGAGCTGCTGTCTCTGGTAACATTCAGAGAAGGAAAAAAGCCTGGGGATCAAATTGGTCCTTGAAAGAGCATTAATATTGGTTGCAGACTTTTGCAGTAGAGCTTAACAGAACGCGGAGAGGAGTTGACAGTGAGGTCTTCCATATGTTAAAGAAATCTAGCATAGTAGACTCCAAATAGAGGAATATATAGAGGAATACTGAGGCTTGTAAAGAAGACCTGCACAAGCTTTGTTACCATACTTTATTTCTACTCCAATTATTGATCCAGTGAAAAAACATAAATTGAACTGCTTTCCCAATCAGTGAGAAGAATCTCCTTCCATCTGTGCAATAGTTCTTGGGGGACAGGAGAATAATGTGTTTGTAGTTATTGGCATTATGGTACCTTAAGAACATACTAGAAATTTTTGCTGCCTCCTGACCAAAAACTCCTGCTCTGTATGCACGCTTGAGACTTTTGCTGGAAACTTTTTTTGTTTTCTTTCTCCCCTCCCATTAGGTTCGTTTGCCAGTGGATTTACCCTATACACCTTTGCTACGCTCCCTCATGACAATATTACAATTCTGTAATGGGTTCCTGAGGCCAGCTTCTCCTCTGGGAAGCACAATAAGCCGAATCTTGATCAATTGCTTCAGAGTCCAGAGGTCAGCTCTTGATGTCATAGCAGCAATCCCAGAGAAAAGAGGTGAGTTAATCTTTGCACTTTTTTTAATCTTGGAAATACTTGACTATTCTGTAGTTGCAGAATTTCTCATTCTCCTTCGCTGATCTTTCTGAATTAAGACTACCACTTCCATTTCTGAAAGTTGTTCATTTTTTTTCCAATTCTTCCTACTTCTTGGTTAACCTTACTTTCTGTTGATGAGCTGTAATTAAAAATGCTGTAACTAAAAAGGTTTTAGTGGTTGTGAGAGACTGGATGTTTCTGCTTTACTCTGAGGACTGTATTTGCTTTCTTCTCCAAAACAGTTTTACAGTCCTGTGTCTTTCTGTATTTCAGCAGTTGCATTGTGATTCAACTGCTTCTTCTCTCAGTATTGGTCCTTTAGTTTTGTCTTCCATGTTTCAGACTGCAACGCACTCATAGGAAGTCTATTTGATGTCCTTCTGGCATACATGGAGAGTCCAAACACCAGCCCTACTGTGAGTATAGAACTAAGGAGAGATCCAAGTCTATTAGCTTGCCCCAGTGGGATGTAGTTCTGAGAAACTGTCTGACAAAAGTTGCTTCTTAGCACAGTTTGTATCAGAATATGTAGGAGACTTGTCTTGATTCTGGATTGCTTGCAGGAAATAGCTAAAATTCTAACGAGCAAGTAACTGACCAATACATTGAGTGTTCTTGAAAAAACAGGAGCCATCACATCTAAGAGTAGCACCAACATACTCAACTTGGCATGGCCCTTAAGTATTGAATTCTTTGCATTAAGGGGTTGTGTTTTCTTGCTTTGTTTTGTTAAAATGACTGACAACTGCAAATCAAAAGCTGGAGGTACTAGAACTTTGTAATACTAAGCTGAGAACAGGCATTTTCTGTGTGTTTGTTAGAAATGTTATTTAAGCTCCATTTACTTACGGCTTCTGTGTAAGGAAGCATATATACTTCTTTACTCTGAGAATGTCTCTAAGTTTGAGCCTAAAACAAATTTTATCTAGCATAAAGGCAACAATTCCTCCTCCTGTAGTAAAGTAAATCTGCTTTGTATTGCTTCAGGTTCTAAAGAAAACATTTCACGCTTCATTAGAGTGGTTGGTGTGCTTGCAGGAACTGTCCTATTCCAACAGTCAGTGGGAACAAACCAAGATTTTGGAAGGTAACGAAGCTAAGTAAAGTTGAGACCAACAGCAGCTAGTGGCATAGATGAAACCTGCTCTTGCCTACCTTTCCTGCTCAAAGCACTCAGGATTCATTTGTTCACAATTATGTTGGATGTAGGTTTAGCTGCCCAAATAGTGCTTTGAAGAACTCTGGGAGAAGCACACAGCAGCAGCAAAAGGGATTGCATCAGATAAAATGATACAGAGGTTATACAAGGACTGCTTCAGTAAGGCTTGTTGCCTTTCATGTCTGTTCAAGCTTGTCACTTGGCTTTTACAGATGTGTTTCTGGTGCTGCAGAAGCATTTGTGCAGTCCTTGCTGGGAAGTAAGAGATTCTTCTCTGGAGTTCGTCACTGAGATGATTAAATACTTGCAAGGTAGGTACAGAGGTTTAACACTTCAGATTGAAGGAATATTTCTTTTAATGTTATGGAAGTCAAACAGGCTTGTGAAGCATCCTCTGACCTGTAACTGGAGGGCTAAGAAAAGAAGTGCCAAGATTTTTACTCTTAGATCATGATCAAAATCTGACAAAAAGATTAATAAACTTGCCCTACTTTTCTGTTGAACTCAGATTGTTGTGCCCTTCTTAATGGCAGTTTTGGCAAGTTAAACTGAGGGGTGTTGAGACAGTCATATATGTTGAGACATGAATGTCAAGGCAGGTGACAATGCTTAATGGCAGATAATACTTTCCCTTTTCTCAGTTTGCAACAGAGTCTGTTTGGTTTCACTCAGCAGGCTGGGGGCTGGGATTTAGGAGGCTAAAAGCCTAGATCTGCTTTGTATGCTTTGGATTAATTACGGAGTTTCCACATTACTGGTAGCTCGGGCTTTGCAGCAGGCAGTACTAAGGTAGTGTTAATTCTCCTACAGTAGGTCTGCGATGTTGGAAGAGAGGGGGATGTTGTCGACTGCTGTTGTCCCCGGGTCACGAAGTATCCAGCACACTCAGCTGCATTATTAGCAGTTCATGCTGCAGCCCCTCTCAGTCTTGTAGTTGCATTCTTTTTCTTTGCCCTATGCCTTGACAACAAGGAAGGAAGACTTCTTTTCCTCCTTTAAGCAAAGGCATAACTTTGATGAGGCTGAAACCATGTCCCCGTTTGCCTGGAGAAAGTTTTTTCTTGCTTCTAGAACAACTGTAAATGGATTTTTCTAAGTCCCAGTGTCTATCAGAGCTTGACTGAAAGTCACCAAGCTGCTGGAAAATGGGGAGCCTGACACAGAGCATCTGTGCTCTTGTGAGCAGCTGCCTGGTCTCTGCAGTGGCTCAGCTCACTGGCAGCCGTCCCTGCAGTCAGTGGGCATCCTTGTATGACGCGGAGAACTGTTTGCATTGGAAACAGCTTCATGGTCCGAGAGAATAAAGCCTTGCTTCTTTGGATTGCTGTCTTATTTACAGACCACGATGAGTTCAGGCAGTCTCTCCTGTCTTCAGAGGTGCCGAGGCTTACAGAAAGTCTTCTTGAGGATCCAGAAAGCTACGTGCGAGCAAGTGCTGTGATTGCTGTGGGACACTTGGCCTTCATTACTTACTTTGCTCCAGAGTCACCTGTCACAGGGAATCAGTTTAATAAAGAGGTATGATGACTTTGTGTAGCGCGCTGCAGAATCAAGCTGAACTATGCATCGGTTTACTGCTGTACTGCTTACAGCTTTCTTCACAAGTTATGTGCAGTCTCATGCAGGCAGATTTTACAACCAGTAATGAAGAGGCTAGATTTTTTACTTCTGCTGTTCTTGTTTCTTTGCATGTTCCTCACCTCATTGTGCTTTCTCTGTGTCTTTTTACACTTAGAACACTGTAGCAAAGCTTCAAGAAATCTTGTCAACAGACCCAGAGGGCTTCCCTAGGAGGGCTGTGATCAAAATCTTCACCAAGTGGCTGAAACAAGACTGCCTAGGTCAGCTGGAAGAGACAGAGCAGTTTGTCTCTAGAGCGATCCAAACTGTGGAGCATGACTTAGACTGGGAAGTCAGACTTTATGGTTTGAAACTGGTTGAAGTTTTCTGTACTCACACAATTTGCCGTCTTGGCGTTCCTAGACGCCCATATGCTCCTGTCTTGTCTGCAGCCCTTAGTTCTATTCCTCAGAATGAGCCGCTGCAGATATTTTGCCGAGCAAAACTGTTCAGCTTTTTGTTTCGGTCTTTGTGTGACTGTGACAAACCAGTAGGTCACAGAGCCTGTCATATACTGCTTGTCTTAAGAAGTAATTTCTGTTCAGGTAGTACCCTGAAGGATTCACAAGGGACTGGAGATTCACAATGGTCTGGAGATTCACCTGCAGGTCACAGCATCGCCTGGTTACAAAGGACACTGAGGCAGGGTTCTCTGTCCCAGAACTTCCCCACAGATGGTGGTAACGGGGTGGATTTTCAAGATCCATGGAGCATGATACTAGCTTTGGGTACTATAGACTTTGAAGAGCTACGTGATGAGCTAAATAAAAGTAGTGACCATGTGGAGAAAAGCCCTCAGTCCCTCTTACAGGACATCCTTGCTACTGTGGGGACCATAGAGGAGAACGAAGCTGACTGTTACTGAAGACACCTTGTGCTGTGAGGGAGGGAGCAGTGCTTAAGCAGTTTTCTACTGGAGGAGAATTTTTTGCTACCAGTCATTTCTCGAGACAGGATAAAAATAAGTGTTACACTGGATGGAGAACAGAATGGTTTTGTTGGCTGTTAAAACGGGTTAGAAAGTCTTTGCTTTAATACTGATGAACTTTTTTAACAAAAAGCATAATCTCCAATAAACTGATTTGTTTTTCAAAAACACATTAAGAAGTGCATTTGTTCTTTTTTTTTTAAGTCCTGCGTCTTTTAAGAAAGCACCAGATCATGTCTACATGAGGAAACATTTTTAAAAAACAAAACAGTGACTGAAGACAAGTTGTTGCATGCTCCTTTTAGAGCCAGAGTAGCTAAAACTGATGAAGACTGGTTTTAAGGAACACTTGTTTTGACCTTGTCCATATCTCCATCCTAAAAACAGTTTTCTAGTTCCCTGTTGCATTTTGAGGTCTAGAGCAGAAGGTGGGGCACTTGAGGAGTCAAAAGCTGATCATCCTTAACATTACAAACTTTCTTCCATAGATAACATACTTGTTTGATCTCAGCAGTGACTCTAAAAAGCTGACTTTTTTAACTAAAGCCAGAAGCAAGTCCATTTGCTGATTTTTTTTAAATACTCTTATTCTCCATTCCTAAAGAACTAGGATAGTTTTTTAACTAAAGCCAGAAGCAAGTCCATTTTGCTGATTTTTTTTAATTACTCTTATTCTCCATTCCTAAAGAACTAGGATAGCTTCTTACTAGTAAGAGAAACTGTCACCTAAAGCTTTTTCATGATAAAATAGATCTATGCTTAACTTCGGTAAACAAAGAGAAACCAGCAGCTATAGTGCAAATGGCATAGCTGTTTTCTGAGAAAAATGTTGCCAATTTTTTAAAAACTCACAGAAGACTCAAGTTTGCAACTTACTTCAAGGTCTTGTCATGGGCTAAGAAGCTTTCTGAAACATGGGGGGGGAGGGGGAAATAAAAAAAACCACAAAACAAAGTAGTACCTTTACTACTAGGTCAAACCATGCTGTATTCCTTTTTGGCACTGAGGTGTTACTTGGCATCCTTTATCCTCCTGCAGGCTGTGTAGAGGCAGGAACACAGCACTCATTTTAGGCTGGTGGAGGCTATTGCATCTAAGGTGGTGGAAGAACTTCTACAGTCTCCTCCTCCAATATTATCCCTGCAGCAGTACAATTGGGTGAGATGCAGTCTGAGTTTCTTGCAACTGAGGTTGAAGATTTACTCTATGCCTTTCAATGAAGTCAGCACACTTACCTATCGCTCTGTGCACAGCTTTATGTATGACAGAGCCCTTGGGTGTTGTAACAGCCTCTGCTACTAGGAGACAGCAGCTCTGCTTCTGATACACAATTCCACCTGAGCAGGGTCTACACCTGGCAAAAGACAGAGGATAATAAAAATCAGGTCTTATCCTGCCACTGCTTTTTTTCCTCAGAAATTGAAAGGGTTAGTAAGAGGGAGGGGATTTGCCTTTAAAGCAGCGTGGATTGTTTGTGGAGTTTTAGCAGTCCTGTCTAGTGAAGGGGTTAGAGTTCCAAAACCAGCATTATGTGTTGGCAATGGGTCAGATGTGCTCTGGGAAAGGAGGCAGCAGGTTGTTGGGTAAACATCTCCCTCCCGTTCAGCATTAGAATTCTTGCGATTTCAGGGTTGTGCAGTTTAGGAGACTCCAAGGAATTATTCAAATACCAGCAAATTGGGTAAGTAAGTGACTCGTTACAGAAGAGAAACTCCACTGCTTATTACCAAAGTCTCTTGACTCCCAGACTTATTAATTTGTAATGGAACTTTTTTTCTTTTTATATTGGCCGGGGTGATAGTGACATTGTTAAGTTCATACCTTTGTAGTCCAAAGTCTTGTTTATACACAGGATGCTTGTACACTAAAACCCCAATGTACAACAAACCGAGAGGGCTCCTTATCTTTAGAAGGGGAATTAAGGACTCCTTTCATCTTTCATTAAAAACAGGTCTCCACCTCCAGCAATTAGGTGACTCAGTGCTGATTTTGTACTTCTCCCTCTTCTCAGCTCACCACATTGCCTTACTTTGTTTTCTCTGCTGCTCTAGTTAGAGCAGAGAATCTTATTAACACCGAGATTCTTGGGCTGACATCCTGCACCTGATAATTGGGAGAAACACAGAGTCCTGAACATCTGAGCAGTGTGGGGAACAAATACCAGGGAACACCGAGATTATGGGAGATGAAAGCAAAAGAAAAAACCCCTGTTTCTTTCCACAGAAAACAATGGCAGTGGGTCTTGCGAGATGAAAATTTAGCTACTGAATTAGTAAACACACACCAACAACTACTAATGTAAATCATCCATCATACTGGGAAGCTGTACCATCTGTAGGATGCCCATCTTTGCACACTGTTAAGAACTCATGTGCAAGCCCTACCCCACTTATGCTGCCAACTCACTGTCGTGGTTTAACCCCAGCTGGCAACTAAGCACCACGCTGCCGCTCGCTCACCCTCCCCATGCCCTGGTGGGGTGGGGGAAGAGAATCAGGGGGAAAAACCCAAACCAACAAAAAGCCCATGGGTTGAGATAAAGACAGGTTAATAAAACAGCAGAGGAAAAGAATAATACTACTTACGATGATAAAAGAATTTACAAGGCAAGTGATGCACAATGCACTTGCTCACCACCTGCAGACCGATGCCCAGCCCAGCCCCGAGCAGCGGTCCCTGCTCCGTGGCCAGGTCCCCCCCCGTTTCTATCCTGAGCATGATGTCGTATGGTCTGGAATAGCCCTTTGGGCAGTGGGGGTGAGTTGTCCTGGCTGGGCGCCCTCCCAGCTTCTTGTGCCCCTGGCAGGGCATGGGAAGCTGAAAAGTCCTTGACCAGCGTAAGCACTGCTCAGTGACAACTGAACCATCAGGGTGCTGTCACATTCTTCTCATCCTAAATCCAAACCACAGCACTGTGCCAGCTGCTAGGGGGAAAATTAACCCTATCCCAGCCAAACCCAAGATACTCATTCTCAACCCACTTCTTACCTACCACAGGCTTTTTTGCACCTCCACAAGATCCTTATGCCAGCCACACGGCTTTCTGCTGGGTTAAGCCTTTACACATGTAGTACATCTTGCCAAGGAGCTGTGGTCGTGGTGCACCCAGGGGAGGGTTAACTGGGGGAGACAGTCCTGAGAAGCAGACTCCTTACCCCAGGTACACACGGAGCATTCATGCCAACAAGCGCTATTGCTACTTACCACTTCACCGCGTGACAACAGCGGTCCCTCCATAACCTCTACACACTCAGCTCGCTCCTGTCACGCTGAGGACTCCAGCGCTGTACAGAAGGAGGTGGGCTGCCTGGCTTTCTGGTATGGACGCAGGACAAAGTTCAAAGCTGCTTTTTTGGGATGGATTTCTGTGGAAACTGCTGCTTTCACACTGTCGGCGCTGTAGCTGTGTACGGTTCCTGCAGGAGGCAGGCACCGCCGAGAGAGTTTTTCCAACACACACTCTCTCCAGCTGATTTCCGCAAAGGCTGCGGCCAGACGTGGGCCTCGTTTAATGCACGAAGCACCGAGGCTCAGGTCTGTCATTTGCTTTAATGTGGGCTGTGGGTAGCAGGCAGTAGCAGTACAAGTGGTATCAACGTGGAACATCACAGATTAGAAAAATGTACTTCTCCGATGGCTGGGACTGTGAAAGAAGATTACGCTCTTTATCTGCACAGGGGCAATGTAAGTTCTATTGCCTGATCCGCACGCAGGTATGAAATTCCTAGAGTTGCTTTCAACACATTTCAGCAAAGCTCTGAAGAAAGGATTTATCCTTTAACTGCTCAGAGGCAGGAGAGAATAAGCGTCTTTGGCTCATCCCTACACTAGCAATGGCTTTATAAAAGCTGCCAAAAGAACAGCTGTTAATTTTCTGTTTTAATATATTGGACATTTAAAATTCAAAGAATATTCTTTGCCTAATTATACTAATTGCACAACTTAGTCAAAAATGGGCCATAAATGTCTAAGGCTGTTGCTTTAGCTTAGATACATGTGATCTGTGATTACAGATCAACTCATGCATATCTTTGCAATTGCTTTTGTCCATCTCTAACAAAATTTGCTCTACCTTTCACTACTTATTCATCAAGGCTTCTAAGAACCACCATGTGTTAAAGAGGAAACTCATCAACCAGCTCCACTGCAGAAGTTCTCAACAATTTACAATGGAAAAATATACCAGTAGCAACACCTCTGCAGTCTGTGTCATTTCCCTTCAGAGCAGTGGGTTTTGGCCTCTGTGGAGAAATCAAGCACCACTTAACGCGGCCAGACCTCAGCCTGCGTCAGACGCGCTCCTCCACAGACAGGACGGAGCTTTCCTATAGCTTTGCAAGCCAGCACGCAGGGAAATGGAGGGACTTTCTTTCAAAGCAGCCGTGTGTCTGTCTGACCAAGCTGGAACAAAGCTGGCAATGCACAGCTGTAACGAAAGCACTCAGGGCTCTGCAAACACGCACCATGGATCCACTTAGAACTCATCCCCAGATGGAAGGGGAAATGAGCAGTCTGCATCAAGAGCCCCTGCGATACTGCAAGTACAGTTACACAACTGTTGCAGTTAAAGCAAAACTTAACTGAAGAAAACAGTATTTCTGCCTGCAATACCAATACCAAGTCTCTGCTTAGAGCACAGCAGCTCTAAGAGCACAGAGTTAAAGGCCTACATTTACCATAAATGTAGAACAGAGCTGCAAAGACACCTTTCACGTGGCTGCCTCCAAAACAAACCCATCCAAACCAAGTAACTCCCCAGCTCGTTCTGCAGTTGCCCAGTCATTAAATTCCGTGCAAGGGCAGGAAAATGCTGTCTGGAACAGAGGGGGCACCCACTCCTCTGAGGGACATTGCCTGATTAGGCCAGATCAGGAATAAAGTAAAACCATGACCTTAACAGGCTCCTGGAGAGCATTAGGGCTTGAACCCTGGTAGCGTTGCCCCTTTTCACTCCTCTTCAGTGCAAGATGGGTAGAAATTACCCTTAAGAGATAGATACGCTTTCAGATCTTCAGTTCTCCCATTTCATTTTCTCTTGGTCCTCATACTTCAGTCTCCATTGACCCCATATTCCCTGAGCTTTCAGGCTGGGTCAGTGGAAAAGAGCAAGGAGCTCA